ACTAAAGTGAAGTAACTCAGACAGAGAAAGACAAGTATCATATGATATCACTTATATGTGGAATTTTAAAAAATGATACAAATGAACTTATTTACAAAACAAAAGCACACTCACAGACTTAGAAAACAAATTTAGGAGTTTGGGATTAACAATTACAAACTACTATATGTAAAATAGATAAACAACAAGGATTCACTCTAGAACACAGGGGAAAATATTCAGTATCTTGCAACCTATAATGGAAAAGAACTTGAAAAAGAATGGACTATGTATATGTACAACTGAATCACTATGCTGTATACCTGAAACTAACAAAACAGCTGTATATTTGAAACTAACAAAACAATGTAAATCAACCACATTTCAATTTAAAAAAAAAGAAACTCTAAACACCTTTATTCAAAGAAAATCTTCAACACTTACCTCTTAGTAAAATTAATATGGGAAGCTTGAGCAGAACCAAATTATACTGAATGAGAGGTTACATACCTTCTCCAGCATGTGGTCCATGCTACACACACATCGTGTTTTCCTTCAGGTAAGAATGACCCTTATTGCCCATGAAGCAAGTCCTACTGGGACAAGGCCTCTGTGGCAGTGGCCTCTTTGTCACCGCTCCATCTCACCAGGAGGCCAGGGTTTTCAGAGGGGAGGGAACACAGAGCTCATACACTTCAGATCTATTTCCTGAGAAAAACTATGGAAAGAACAAATTCACCTGCAGTGTGGGAAACATGAGCAGGGCCCCTAAGCAGACCGACAAGCCTGAAGCAAGAAGGCCCGATGTTCACATCGGAACCAGAACAACAACCGCCTGGCCCCAGTTAAACGATCACCATCTCACCTGCAATGAACTGTTCGTACTCAGTGTCAGGGATGTTTCTGTTGAGACTTGAGAGATCAAAAAAGTCAGACCAGGGAATCCAGACCTGGTGGATGTCCAGGCTCTGACAATGGTAGAGGCGGCCCCAAGGGGGTAGCACCAGCACCAACTCCTCCATTTTCAGCAGAGTCTTCAGGAGGAAGGCGATGTGGATACAGATGCCCCTATGGAGGCTGAAGCCCTCTGGAGGGTGGACGTCACACAGAAGGTAACTGGCAGGGAGCAAAGGAGAGCAGGTCTTCAGGACCAGGCCTCTGCACAGGAATCCCGGCTTAGATACAACAGATACAATGGGAATCCCTGCACAGCACATGGCCTAGACTCAAGACATGTTCAGCAGCTTCTGGTTTGTATAGTGGAGGCACTGCCCACCGACATCCATGTGGCCAATTACTTCGAGTCCTGGAGCACATGCAGAAGACATCTTGGCATCTGTCTAACAACGCTAAGCACCTGACTAGTACCTAAGCACCCATTCTCCAGGGGTTTTCAAGCTTCTTGGTCTACAGA